TTTTGGTGCGGACGCGAGCTTCTGGGTCCCCTGTATATATATCTCCCGTACGAGAATAGAACCTACTTTTAAGATAACAAGTGTTTATATATACCTTCAGTAGCATAGAACATTTTGGAGGTATCAAGACTAACGTCAGAGCGACCTTCCCAGGATTCACTAACGACCTTTTGGCACTTGTGAGTTTCTTTTCTAAGCATGCTGATGGATTTGTTTTGAGGCATGGTAGGACTAACAATGGTAATTTTGTGCGTAATAATTTTGTACATGACAACAGGAGCTGGACTCGTTCGCCACCTAATGGGGCGTCCTAATTTTCTAATTTACTTGTAGTTTCTGTGGAAAGCCGGGTCATAAGGCTGTTTTTTGTTGGACAAGGTTGCAGCCAAATAAGGTGAAGCACGAGAGGTTGCAGTTTCGGTTCTCGCCTCACGAGACTATGATCTTTTCCAGGAGAGTTTTGCGAAGGACCCAGACGTTAGTACCTTTCGTCCCTTTTTGTCACAAGGCACGGTAGAAGTTGATGGTGTCGAAACACCAGTCATTATTTTTGAGAGACTCGGGTTGTCTCCAAACTCTCATCAAAGAGGGTGTTGTTGCGACGAGGAAGACTGACAAAACGTCGTTTTGGGCTCCCTTTGGGGTAAAGGTGCAGCTCCTTTGGTTTTTCAGGGATAGCTAAACATAGGAGGTGTGCAAGCGCTGCCTGTTTTAGTACGTGTCAAGTCTCCTTGTTGCTAGAGAGTGGACCTCATACTTTGTGTGCTGTGACTCGTTTTATGTTAATGACTAATGATCATAATGTAACTCCTGATGTAGATGATTCACTGTCCTTAGAAAGAATTTTTGCTAACCCAATTGCTTCCAAGACATTTCTTCCGCAGTTAATGCTGTAACCGGGAGAGTAGCTCTAATAGCTGCGCAAGAGCAAGACATTCATTACGGCTCTTGTTTGACCGGGTGTTAGATTCTGCCAATGATTCAGGCCCTACCACGAGATATTTCAGTCAAGATGGTGTTTTGTGCTGCCGCTGGCTCCCACCGACTATGTCAGAGGAAGACGCGGACTGGGCGTCTATCACTCAAATAGTTCTCCCACACACTTACAGACAACATGTTCTAGCTCTGGCCCATGACGGTCGCTTTTCTGGACATCAAGGTGTCCGAAAGACTTTCAACAGGCTGGCCAGGAAGTTCTATTGGCCAGTTACGAGGAGAGATGTCACTAAATATTGTAAGTACTGTCATTTTTGTCAAAAGGTAGGCAAAGCCAATCGGGCTATTCCACCTTTTCCACTTGTAAGAGTACCTCACGTACCTGAGCCCTTTACAACAGTACAGTGTGACATTGTAGGCCCTCTGCCTAAAACTTCTAGTGGGTTTGAATATTTATTTACAGTCATTGATACCTTCACTAGGTACTTGCATGCTGTACCTCTTAGGAAAGTTACTGCTAAGGCCCTTGTTAAATGTTTGCTTGACCTGTTTAGTCACTTTGGGTTGCCGTACCGTGTTCAAACGGACGGTGCTTCATATTTTGTAGGAAAAGTTTTCAAGGAAGCCCTAACAGAGTTGGGAATAGATTGTTAGGTGGTAGTGAAGAGAGCATTAATGTATTAAGTTTAATAGGAGATGTTAGAGAGAAGCTTCTAAGTTGTTGGAGCCTTGCCACAGACCACTTACAGCAGTCGCAGTCCAAGATCAAGACATGGTACGACAAGCATGCCAGACACAGAGAGTTCCAGATAGGAGATCAAGTACTTATTCTCTTGCTGAGACTTGGACAGCCGCTCCATGCGAAGTTCAGTGGGCCATATAGAGTGGTGAAGAAGGTAAGCCTCACGAATTATATTATCTCTACCCCTGACAGGCGCCGACTACAGCGCTTATGTCACGTCAACCCCATCAAGCTGTACCACACACGCCCAGCATCCCCGTTTGTTGCTGATGATCCAGTTCCCGTGTGTGCCGTTGACACTTTCTTGGTAGACGGTGAGAAAGAAGAGGAAAAAGAAGGGGCAAGTCCACTCGCCCTGTCATCAGTCAGGGTTTGGCAGTCCAACTCCGTGGAGTTGCAGGAGAAGCTACAGCGTCTACCGGGACACCAGAGAGCTGACGTGCTGACTGCCATCCAACAACATCCTCTTGTCTTCCAAGATAGGCCAGGCCAGGCCTGCATGATATTGATGTTGGTTCTGCTAAGCCTATCAAGCAGGCTCCCTACCGTATCCATCCAAGCCAGGTGGAGAAAGTGAAGCAGGAGTTAGCCAACATGGAGTCCATGGGCATCATTGAACCAGCGACCAGCGAGTGGTGCTCACCAGTCACTCTCGTACCGAAGAAGGACGGCACTCTTCGATTCTGCATCGACTTCCGCAAGGTCAACGCCGTCACCAGCAAGGACAGCTTCCCTCTACCAAGAGTCGACGACTGCATCGAAGCAATCGGGAACGCCAAGTTCCTCTCTAAGATTGATTGCCTTCGAGGGTTTTGGCAAGTACCATTGACCCGTCTTGCTAAAGACATCTCCAGTTTTGTGACATTAGGTAAGACCAGTAAATTTAATGCCCCTGCCACCTTTCAAAGGCCGATGTCACAAGTCACGGCCAATTTGCCTGGTTGTGTAGTATATTTAGATGATGTTGTAATTTTTTCTGACACTTGGTCAGACCATTTATGTCAGCTAGACGCTCTCTTCACTGAGTTAGAAAATGTAGGACTTGTTATAAACCTTGCTAAGTCAGAATTTGTTTGTGCTCAACTTTTGTATCTGGGACATGTAATTGGGTTGGGAAACTTGCTCCTCCCACAGCAAGGTGTGACACTATTTCTCAGATGCCTGTTCCATGTAACAAACGACAAGTCCGCAGATTTTTGGGTTGTGTGGGTTATTACCGGAGATATATTTGTAATTTTGCCGAGTTGGCACTACCCCTTACTGATTTGTTGAAGAAGGGTAATATTTTTTGTTGGACTTCAAGGTGTCAGGATTCTTTTCAAAGCTTGAAAAATGTATTATGCTCATACCCTATTTTGAGAGCCCCTAATTTTTCTAAGCCTTTCAAGCTAGCCTGTGATGCTAGTGATCTTGCTGCAGGTTCTGCCCTGTTGCAAGAGGATGATGACAGTGTAGACCACCCAGTGGCATTTTATAGTAAAAAATTCAATCCAGCTCAAACCCGCTATGCAACAGTGGAAAAAATTGCTGTCAATTATCCTAGCTTTGCAACATTTCAGTTATTATTTATTACCAAGTAATTTATACAGATCACAAACCACTGCAGTTTCTCAAAACATTCAAGTTAAAAAACCAGAGATTAATTCACTGGAGTTTGCTCCTTCAGAACTATAATTTACATGTCACACATATTAAGGGTTCAGACAATGTGCTGGCTGATCTGTTATCTAGACCCACAGAATGAACACTTATGTCATATCAAAATTTGTGCAAGCAAAAATTTTATTTTATGGGGGGAAGTGTTACGACCGTGTCGTATTTTTCTATTATTTTTTATAACATGCTTCAATGTTGTTCCATATTATTCCTGTAATGATGTGTTATATTTACTATTATATATTCTAGTCACCTTACCCTGTGCTGTTAAGGTTTTAACTGTCATTATTTGTTCAAGCCCATCTTATTTCTTCATTTAGTATTGTAACAAGCATTCTTTGTTTCTCTAACGACCATCTGCATCGTTAAACGACCCATGTTTCACCGGCGTGTCGCACTGGCGGGAGCCGACCTTATATATAGTACCCACCAGCAGACGGAGTTCAGTCCAGTCCTCCTGTCATTCAGTCCACGTTCTTTTGAGTGACACCCGTCACCTGTTACTTATACTTTATTTTATTTCTGTGTTGTTCCTGTCGCCACCAATGTGGTATATCTATGTGAGTACCTATTCATGTCTCTTATGTGTCCATCAGTGCTTGCTTAGTTACATTTAAGTAATTCAGTGTTGTTTCACGATAGTTAATTTCAGTGTTAGTTATTTTATATGTTTATGCAGTGTTAACGTAATCCAGTGCTTTATTTTTATTCTATATGTTTAAGCAGTTCTTTTGATGTTTCGATGTTTTAGTATCATTTGTGTCTTAAAAGTTTCGATAGTGAATCAATTTGTTGTGACAGCCTACGAGGCTCTTTATTGTGTTAGTATTTAATTTAATTAAATTCTTAAAGGTTTACTTTATTTATTTTTATTCCCTTTTGATTTACTTCACTTTTTTTTGTTTGGTTACGCCTAGAACCTGGATATTAAAGTAAATTAAGAGACGGCGTAACAATATATATATATATATATATATATATATATATATATATATATATATATATATATATATATATATATATATATATATATATATATATATATATATATATATATATATATATATATTGTGCATGATTAATAATTAATAATATTATTAGTTATTAATAATTAATGTTATTTTTTATTGTAATGTTAATATTTACATGTAACATGTTAGAATAAATATTATAATACATGAGTAACCAAGACACAACTTGAATTTTTTGTTTTGTGTTTGTTTATATCAATAAAGAGAAACAATAAGAATGCCTTTTAACAGCCAAGAACTCAACTGAAATAAAGTTAATTTATTTCCCAAATTTATGTAACGGCATAACAGGTGATTCATCACTTGCAGTAGATGTAAGCCAATAGATGGCGCTATTATTGTGGTATCTGGCAACTATATCGTACACACATTTCATAAATATTTTAGCTGGAGCTTTCCTATCTTCAGTAGAGTATCTTTTATCCGAACCAACGTATTTCATACCAAGAACAGAAATTTATGGCGGACACTCTTAATAATCGTCAACAGTTAATTTACTCTGTATATGTTGATATACAATTTTGGGAATTTGTGGTACCTTCCATCATCTCAAAATTCAATGGGGTTTTCTGAAATACTCAAAAGAATTGAAATACTCGTATAGTATCCACAATAATACTCAGGAGTCGACTCACCTGTCCCGCATGATTGGTTCTTCTGGACAGGTGGGGTAGGTGATGTATGAGACGACGGTGGCAGTGGTCAGACGGTAATGGGTATTCGGAGTGACTCTAGGTGTGGTGATCGTGGTCGTAGTATGGTGCTCTACTGCCACCAAGGGCGCCTCCACTAACACGGGATCCTCACTGAAATTGAAAAATTGCAAACAACAAAAATACTACTACTCTCCCATACGATATATCTAGAGAATAAGAAAGAGAGTTTTGTGAAATATGATACTTGCATAGAATTTATCTTGATTATCACAGTTCGCAACATAACAGGACATGAACACACAGCAATGGTTGAATTTTGAGTTGGTGTGGGTCATTCAGTATGGGAGTAACACTGCTTGGGGGGATAAAGGGACGTAAGATGAACTAGGGCAGTAAAGTAGCATGTAATAAACTGGGTAGCCAAGGAAAATAAGACAAGTTAAGCAACAAAAGATCGTGCAGAGCGTACTCAAGTGTGCCACTAGATTGAGTGTAGAAGTTGGAGTGTAAATTAGGGAACGTCATCACCCCAACCATCACTACCACCTCCTCCTCTTCCTCTCCAACTTCCTGCTCCTGCTGCCCCTCCAGGTTCTCCTCCTCCTCCTTCTCCTCTTCCTCTCTAACCTCGTGTTCCTCTTCCTTTCTCTCCAGCCTCCCTTTCCTCACCATACTCTGCGTCCTTAGCATTTCTTCCTCCGTCAAGGATTTTTTCTCGTGTGGGCCTACCTCCCACATCACCTGCAGACGTATCTCGCCTCTGTGGAACAGGAACACATTACACATTCGACTCGTGATCCCGGGTCAAATATCAATAAAATGATGAAGATAAATAGGATCACCTGCAGATTAGACATCCCAGCTATTTCACCCGATTATTAAACACCCTAACACTATATAAGGAGTTAGGTAAGATTAGCTAGAGTGCTTAATCTTCAGATGATCAGATAATGTTGTAGCTGGTGCTAATTGCATTGTTTGAATGAGATCCCTTGGCCAGCAATTCGAATGTTTATGGACTCTTAGTGGCGATTATATTCTCTGACATTTTTGTTTCATAAATACATATGAATTCAGCTCTTTGAAATACGAAAGAATTCGAAAGCTTGAGAATAAAACATAGCTTCTTATCCCACCATCACCTACTTTCTCCTCTCACCTCCTACTCCCTTTCTCCCACCTTTCCCTCACCTCGTCCTCATCCCTTCCTACAGCTCCCTCGCCCCTTCCTCTCTCTTTCTTATCCCTTCCTCTCTCCCTCCACACCCTCTATCCCTCTCTTCCCTCTCTTACCTCACCCTCACTCCTTTCACCCAGTCCCCATCCTTTCTTCTTCCTTTCCCTTTAAGAAAATGTAATGCATTTGATCAATACCTTTTGAGATATACGAGTATATACTTTATTTTGTGTCTGGAAAATGAAATTGTAAAATATATTTACCAACAGAGAAAAATGACATCTCTCTCTCTCTCTCTCTCTCTCTCTGTTTATCTGTCAGTCTATCTCTCTGTTTATCTATCTGTCTGGCTGTCTGTCTGTCTGTCTGTGCTCAGCATATCGTTAAAATTCACCACTCTCCCTTTCCTCTTTCCAGACAGTTTCTATCAGCACCTGTGATCCATTAGGGAGAAGTCTACACACACACACACACACACACACACACACACACACACACACACACACACACACACACACACACACACACACACACACACACACATACACACACACACACACACATACACACACACACACACACACACACACACACACCGCAGTTGTGAAGTATTTACAATTCTTTCAGGTGAATAAGTGCTTACTTTATTGGCCACAGGTGTCTTTCACAAAATAAAATAATTTATTTCCATAATGATACGTCGTGGGTACTTAGGCCGTCTTTCTGCACAGTACTTAGTGTGTTTATGTGGTGTAAGCTTACATCTTAAAGCCTTTTCTGCCTTCTTTTAACTTGATAGCAAGGGTTTTATTATCCCTTCAGTGTCAAGAATGCCAAAGAAAGTAAGAAGAAAAGGAGAAGGGTGATTGAATACTAAGCCAACACAATTTAACCCCATCATTTCGGGGACGTCCCTTTTAATTTTTTATTTAAATAACGATAGACGATTTTATTCAGCTCAGAGGGAGGCCCGTACACAAGGGGTTAGTAGACTATATCCACTGAGAGTCACACTACCTGTTGGTCTCAGAGGAGTTCGCTGCGTCACTGTCCATCAGGAAGATTTGGTTCTTATCAGGGCGAAGGGGTGCCACCTTCACCGCCAGGGAGGGCAGCCGCACCTCCTCACCCTCGTTTGCGGGAGACTCCACGACGACCCTCAGGTGTCTCATAGCCAGGTTCAGCATCCTCCAAGTGTCCTGTGGGGGAGACAGGGAGGGACGACAGTGGTTGTTTTAGGTATTGGTGATGAGACGTTAGAAAGAGAGAGAGAGAGAGAGAGAGAGAGAGAGAGAGAGAGAGAGAGAGAATGGTGAGTGCTTAGTTAGATCATGGACAGCGGAGGACTATGATGTAACTCACGGAATAGGTGAGGGCGTTCCTCTGGCCGACCACAGTCTGCAGGATACCCAGGAACACTGGCAGGGAAACCACCTCTTCCGCCATCTCTATCATTCCCAGGATGTCGATGACGCTTGAGCCTTCACCAGGGAGGATTGATTTGCCTTTCTCCTGCAGGATTTTGAAGAGATTCTCCGCCACATTCTCCAGGTCATCAGGGAGGGATTCATAGCCCCGCTCAAAGAGGTACAAGAACTGGGTGATTCAGAAACATTGATATATGAGTCATAAAGAGCGAGAACGGATATATAATTCTTTTCGGGGACAGACAAACATTCCATGGGGGATTGAGAGTCGTGACCTGAATCATAAGTTGAAATTGACTGGATAAGGACTATTTTTATGGAGATTATATATGATGGAGAAATTTGTAGTAACTTCATAGCTCCGGTTTTCAGGGATAGTAGTGATAAAAAACATCAGGAATTTGGTCAAAGAACATTTCAGTGTTCCTATGAAAATATAAAGAACACTTTTTTAGATGTTATAATTATTATTATTATTATTATTATTATTATTATTATTATTATTATTATTATTATTATTATTATTATTATTATTATTATTATTATTACACTGCTGGAAGTCATACAATTTAAAGTACCCGAAAGCCTATGAGTGACTCAATTAAGTAGAAGAATAAAACATCATGTTAAACTTAAGAACAAACAGAGTCGTTGCGAACATCAGCGTCACTGTCTTACGGTAGCTATTGCATCAAGTTTTTTTTTTTTTTTACAACAGGCAGAGTGAGCCATACAAAATCCTTCTCCCCTAACCTAACCTAACCTCACCGAAGAAAATCCTCCTATCCTAACCTAACCAAAGAAAATTCTCATAATAGCCAATGAAAATCCACCTAACCTAACCTAACCTAACCTAACCCAACCAAACCTAACCAAACCTAACCTAACCTAACCTAATCAAAGAAAATTTTCATAATAACCAATGAATCCACCTAACCTAACCTTACCTAACCTAACCAAATCTAACCTAACCAAAGAAAATCCTCATAATAACCAAAGAAAATCCACCTAACTTAACCTAACCTAATCAAAGAAAATACACCTAACCTAACCTAATCAAAGAAAATACACCTAACCTAACCTAACCAAGGAAAATCCTCCTAACTTAACCTAAAATAATCAAAGAAAATACACCTAATCTAACCTAACCAAGGAAAAACCTCCTAACCTCACCTAACATAATCTAACCAAAAATTTCCTAAACCAAACTTATCTATCTTAATTAAAACGTATTACCTGATCGTCAATTTAGGTTAGGTTGGTTCATTTTGTATGTTCTTATGATTTTCACCCAAAATTAAATTATTAAAACCCAAAGTTCAAGACAGAGTGCAGTGACTAGAAAATTTCTATTATGAAGTCTGTAAAAAAAAATGTCGAATAATGGTTTAAAGTTGACCATGATACTGACCTTCATAACTACCCACGCAACATATACAGTGCGTCCACTACACGGACGAAAACAAGACTAGAATAATGGTCAGTAGGCTAAACGATGTGGAGGGAGGGAAGGGGGCAAAGGGGTATTTAACAATAGTAGGCATTGTTATTCTCTGGGCAGTAACACACAAACAGCTCCGGAGTCAACAAGGTGTGTGTCTTACCGTCTTGATGTAGAGGAGAGGTTGGTAGATGCAGCCGGAGAAGTCGGGGATGTCCCAGGCTGGGTATGAATGAGTAGTACCCCAGGATAACGATGGATTAGTGCCGTTCTCAAATAGGGACGGATGGGTGGTGTCGTCCTCAAGTAGGGACGGAGGGGCTGTGCCGTCCCAGACTCGAGATGAATTGGGGCTATCCCAGACCCCTGATATGTGTGTACGACAGAAGCGAGTGGTCGCCTCCCCGTTATACCCTTCTGGACAGGGTGCTACATCCTTCTGATCCACCTGTAACACACCTGACTTTAGTCTTTGTCTCTCTCCCACCTTCACTATCATCCCTCCTGCAGTATTCCTCCTACAGGTGGATCTCGTGTTCCAGCTTCTATTTTAAGTGAGGTGTGTAAGCCAAGTTATCTCTCCTTGACATTATCATCATTATTACATGACATTAGCTGACCTATATTAAGATGAATTCACTATACCCAGTACCCTTTATACCAATAGTATAGTCTGCTCGGCTAATTAAAACCCAACATTGTTACTATAGGACACCTAAAGAACCATTGGAACATGTCTGACCACCAATGGATAAGAGACGCGCCAATAAGCATTAATGGAACGTGTTTACACCAATATGGTGAGCTTAGTGGCTTGAATTCAGGAATATCATCACAGAGAGAACAGGAGAGGAGAAAATAAAAATCAGTGAACAAACACAACAATCATTGGTCGACAGCCAAAATGCTTCGGAAATGAGAGTAGTCAATCCTTACTAATTTGGGGGCACTGGGTACAAAAAGGATGCTTAAAATTATCAATTGGCTCTATTTATGAAGATATGGGATCAGGGCAGTACCCAGTATCCTTGACAAGAGAAGGGGGGGGGGGCTGGTTTGTACTGAATGGTCCAAGTGTGCGACTTAAATTGATTTGGCACTGTTTGCTTTTCTGGCAACTTTGAAAACAGGAAGTAGATGATGCAATCAGAACTCAGGTATTACATCACCCTACTTACTGGAATGCATCAATTCATTCTTGAAAATCACACAGTACATACGTGTCATACTCTCATACTCCTTTCATAAAGTCTCTTCAGTGTTTCGTTCTGACATTGATGATTTTTTAGCCAAATTTGAAGAAAGATGCCTCGCAATTGCGTGAACAGTGCAGATAACTTTTGTTATGTTTGTAGAGAATTGACTTTTGCATCACAAACGCGCGCTAAAACTACCTTGATTAGGAAAGCCTATTATCTTTATTTTGGCTGTAAGATTGAAGATCAGGACAAGAGCTAGACCCCTCACATATGCTGCAATACTTGTGCAACGAACCTTCGCCAGTGGTGGATTCGAAAAAGGAAAGCTATGTCTTTTGCAGTGCCAGTGGTGTGGAGGGAGCCAAAAGATCACGTAAGCAATTGTTTACTACTGCATGGTGCCTCCAGTTAGGAAAGGTATTTGCAAGAAGAAAAAGTGGACTTTACAATATCCGAATATACCATCTGCAATACTCCCGGTACCTCACGGCGAAGCACTACCCATTCCTGAGCCCCCAGACTCATTCTCCCTAGAGTCAGAGGACGAAGAGGATGACGAAACCTGCGAAACCTGTGAGCCTTCAACTTCACAAGACCCTGATTTCGTTCATAACTTGACATCTTCTGAACCGCACAAGAAAACTCAGAATGAACTAAATGACTTTGTCAGAGATCTGGAATTGCCAAAGATTAAGGAAGAAGTGTTGGGCTCTAGACTGCAGCAGTGGAATCTCCTTGCTGAAAATGTTAGAGTGTATAAGTTTTGTGACCGTCAAAAAGATTTCGCCCCATTCTTCATCATGGGAGCTGATCTTGTAGGCTGCAATGACATCGATGGTCTGATGGCAGCCCTCAGCATTATTCATAATCCTGATGAGTGGAGACTGTTCATTGATTCATCGAAGTTGAGTCGAAAAGTTCTTTTGTTGCATGTTGGCAACGTGTTACCATCAATTCCAGTTGGTCATGCTGTCCACACGGAGAAAACATATGACAACACGAAGCAATTTTTGAACTGTATAAACTATAACAAACATCAGTGGCAGCTTTGTGGCGACCTGAAGGTTGTTGCCATCTTGCTTGGACTGCAGCCAGGCTACACAAAGTATTGCTGTTTTTTGTGTGATTGGGATAGTCGGACAAGCACTTCCCATTACATCAAAAGGGATTGGCCAATCCAACACTCGTTGGAACCTGGAACAAAACAATTTCAGTATCCTCCACTTGCCTCCACTTGTAGAATCGAGCAAGATTTTGTTCCCACTTTTACACATCAAACTGGGCCTCATGAAGAATTTTGTTAAGCTATGGATAAAACGGGGGCAGCCTTTAAGTATCTCGGTGGTAAATTCTCAAAGCTCAGTGAGGCAAAAATCAAGGAGGGTTATTTCGTTGGTCTACAGATCCGCGAGCTCCTCAGAGATGAAGAGTTTGACCGTATTCTGAGTGGTGAGAAGAAGACAGCGTGGAATGTTTTCCGGTTAGTGGCAACCAATTTTCTCGAAAATACCAAAGCTGATAATTACAGGAAGCTGGTGGAAAATCTGCTGTTGTCCTATCAAAAAGTGGGCAGCACGATGTTTTTGAAGATACATTTTCTCCATTCTCATCTGATTTTTTTTCCAGGCCAACTGCGGAGCAGTCAGTGATGAACATGGTGAACGTTTCCACCAGGACATCTCAGCGATAGAGAAACGTTACCAGGGAAAATGGAGCCCATCAATGTTAGCAGACTACTGTTGGACAGTAACAAGAGATGCTCCAGAACATGAATAAAAGAGACAAGCAAAAAAAACGTGGGGTTCAATCAAGATAAGTAAGTGACCATTATATGTTACTTATATATTGTGTGTGTATATATATATATATATATATATATATATATATATATATATATATATATATATATATATATATATATATATATATATATATATATATATATATATATATATATATATATATATATATGCAAAATGTGAAGATTAAATTTTCTTGGAAACTGTAGCCAATCAATTGTTTGTATAGTTTATATTCGTTTTCAGCACCCCAAAATCTATGAAGGGAAAATTATTATATCTTCGAAGCACAAAATTTGTCAAAATTTGTAGACCAGTGATGTGCCAAATGGTGCCACAATATTAGTGTTAGTGCGAAATGCATCAGTGAAGATGAGAGTATCGACAGATGCTCTCTCTCTCTCTCTCTCTCTCTCTCTCTCTCTAAGCCCATTATCCTAGCTTTCCGTCACAGGAAAAAATAAAAAGGAAACACTTTATACCAAATGATGCCCAAATCACACAGGGTTCTGAACACCCACCGGCGGTGTCTCACTAACCATCGTGGTCTTCCAGGTGACGCCGTAAGCGAGATCGTCAGGGCACGGGAGGGGTCCGGCGGGGTCAAGGACGTGCACCGTCGCCGACGTGTGAGCCACATCACCATCCCTGTCCCCCGGCATCCACACCAGACCCTTCTTCTCCTCCATCGTACACTTCACACTCAGCGTCTT